ACTTGAGTTTTTGCATAGATCAATAAAGTTACGCGAACTGAAAAAATGTTGCGCCCATGCAATGACGAATAAAATGATGCGAGCTGTTCGCTAACTTTATTCGTCTCTTCCTCATTCTATGATTTACCATACAAAAACTACGTATAGGTACTTAATGTTTCCATGCCAATCCCATTTAGGACTTTCGGTACCTAAGTATATATGTAACTGTATGTGCTTTTTATTGGGTGATTAATTTTTCGTAGAGAAGACGAAATCAAATTGAAATGTTGAAAAAATACCTACATATTTTGAAAGACACCTATATATATATACTATACTAAATATTAAATTCTAACGTTTCCTAAATATGCGTATATACTCCAGATCGATCTCGTCGTTACCTATATATATAATGGATGAGTTTATATGTCTTTTGGAATTATCCCAGACAGCACAGAATATTCTATGAATATTCTGACAACGTTCAAATATACCTATTGTAGAAGATATTCTTATATAATGTTCTCAGAATGATCATAGCATATTCTCATCCTGCAGCGAATATTCCATGAACATTCAATTTGACATATTCTCAGAATATTATTTTTGAACGCGTCTTTGGAAAGAGATGTTCTGCAGGTCTCCAAAGTGACCACGATAAGGGGTGCGAAGCTTCAACTCGACGGGTTATTCTCGCGGGGACTGCCAAGGGAGGAACAATTGTTGATATTTCAGAAGAGCATCGTCCATGAAAATATCTATAAAATAAAGCCAGATCGCCATCTTTTCTACGGTGTTCCAGAGATTAAGTGAGTGAGTTTATTGTGAGCGAGGCATCACCCACGAGATGAATAATTGCCCTTTTTTGGACAGAATACACCAGTTTCAGGGTATGTTTTGATGCTGCACTCCAAATGTGAGAACAGTATTCCAGGATACAGGTCGGATCTGTGCCTTATAGATCATAAGCAAGCTGACTGGAAATGAAATAGATCATGGTCCGAAACAGAAAACCAAGTTTTTGGGATGCACTTTTAGCAATTGATCTCACGTGATTTTCCCAAGAAAGGTTATTGCTGATAGTAATACCAAGCATTGCAATGGATGTCTTCAAAGGTATGGTTACTCCTGACAAGCTTATATTGGGCACAGTGAGATCGGCTTCTCTAGAGAAAAGGCATGCTTGTGTTTTGTTTTCATTGCAATCTACCAAGTTATTGGATCCCCATTCGAGAATTGTTGCCAAGTCCATATTTATGTTGTCAATATTTCTTCCTCGTTCGTTTCTGGTTTGCCTGGTTTGCCTGGCTGGTTATTGGAACCCTGGAAGAGAAGGCGGTATGGAGGGTGTCATCCGCGAAGCTTGGTACTGGACATGAAGTTGCTTCCAACAAATCGTTGATATGGAGCAGGAATAGTGTTGGTGCTAGAATTGATCCTTGCGGAACACCAGCAATTATGATAGGAAAGTCTGATGAAACTCCGTCGACCACTACATGGTGAGACCTGTTTGAGAGAAAATTAGCTAGCAGAGAACATAGCTGGGGAGGCAAGCCATAAAGATGGAAGCTTGGCGAGGAGATATCAAGAGCCACGGCTAAGGTTTCACCATATTTTTCAATAGATTACTGCCATATATGTGAGACGTAAGCGAACAGGTCACCAGTTGATCTCTGATGACGGAAGCCATTTTGCCTATCGTCGATAATACCTTAATGTTCAAGGTATTTCATGAGCTCGATGTTGATAGCTCTTTCCATGATCTTTGAAATAATAGATAGCAGTGCGATCGGTCTGTAGTTGCTATATAGGTAGGGTCTATTTTTGCCTTCTTTAGGAACTGGTTGTACTCTTGCAATTTTCCAGTTGGACCGGAATATCCCCAATTTGTAAGAGTAGTTGAACAACTTGCAGAGAACAGGTGTTAGTTCGGGAGCATATTTCTTGAGAATAATCTGTGGGATTCCGTCGGAGCCACAAGCTTTATTGTTGGTGTTGAGACCCAATAAAATCTTCCTTATAGTACGTTGGCGAGAGGTGATCTCGGGCATATGACTGTCAATTGGCGTTATGCTTGATGGAGGTTGTTTTCCCGATGAATCTAGAGTGGAATTTCCAGCAAATAAATGCGCAAAAGTGTTGGCTTTCTCCTGGGCAGTTGTGGCTAGTGTTCCATCTTCCTTGACTAGAGGAGGAAACGAGCTGGAAGTGAAGTTTCTTCCTACAGCTTTGGCGAAGGACCAAAATGAACGGGATCCGTTTGGACCTTCGGTTTGGACATTCAACAAGTTTTGATTATATTTTGGCAGTACATCCTATGAACGTTCTATGAATGACATATTGTGCTATCTGGGATAATACACTAGTCGGTTTTGAATGCAACTATTCCCTGACTCCATCCTCATCCAGTATCCAGTGACGCCACTGTGCCTGTGTCCGCATCAGTTTCTCATGGCCGTTTTAACAAAAAAAAATACTGATTATGTTTTGCGTCTCAACGTGTAATTAGTTCTGGCTAAGTTCGAGTTTGGGAATGTCTCCAGAGGGTAATTTTCCAGAGTTGCTGGCATGAGCTAGCCAAGCTTTAGTATCGTAAGATCTTTCGTAAAATTGGGTTTTGCTAGTGTCCAGATATTAATGCGGTTGATTACATTTTTACAAAGATCTATGAAGGATAATAAGCCACAATAGTTGGTGTATACCGGGTGACTCGCAACCAATGATTTACCCTCCTGTATATCTCCGTTGCTGTTTTGAATCGATTTCTCAAATTTGATAAATCGATCTGATTGCGTGATGTATGGTTTTGCTAGTATCAAACGGTTTGACCAGAAGCGCATCAATTGTTTCCATTTCAAATACAAAGTATAATTTTATTCTGGAAATTACGATTCAGTATATCATTTGCTTTCCAAAGATATATCACAATAATACTTTCAATTCACTATATCTAGTCATATATAATTGGGATTTTACAAAAAAAGATTTTTTTATTTGACAGGAGAAATGTTTGACATTTCATCTCTGTTGACAGGTTATAAAATGTCACTTTTAAAAAATTCCTTTTTTGCCATGGGAAAAATTGAGTACTTATTTCCCGGATATATGTACACTGTTGATGACTTGTTTTTTGCTAGTTCCGAGAAATAAGCCAATAACACCATCTCTGAGAAAGAACTGGAAACTGGTGGATATCCAGTTAAAAACTTCAAATTTAACGTCGACAATTTTCTGATTTCAATATAATGATTCAATATCTTCTCAATATTGATTCGTCCTACTGCCTGATGTACACGGGAAAACTATCAGATTTCAGCTCACGGTTTTTTGTCTCCCTCCGCTACCCCGCGGGAGACAATACAACCTCGAGCAAACATCATCTACAACTTTTTTTCCTTGTATAATAAATAGCTATTTGTAGGTATTCCCCGTATTAAGATATTTTCATGGTAGTGTTCCATGGATAATGAAACAATACAGCTTGTTAGTAACTATAATTCGTTGTCAAATTTTTTACATAATAAATTTTATGCACACCATATAATTATTTTTTAAAATTTAAGTTTTTCTCTATTTTTCAACACCAATGAACTCATTTTTTTCAAATGATATCATAGAATTTTTAAAGTCGGTTAGAAACTCTCATACACATATTGAAATGCAAGACAGGAACAAATTTCAATTTCCAGTTTTCCTATTGAGTTTATACTTACATCGTATTGAACTTCTCAACTTTCTTATTAGTTGCTGGCTATATCATGATACGGAATTTTTTCAATGAGTTCAGAATCTTCATTGAAACTGCAAGATCTCACGTAACAAAATTTTTTATATTTGATAATTTTCTTGAAAGTTACGAGGAGATGAATAGGAAACGTATTTTTCAATGATGAAATCTCAATAATTTTATGAGTCAAATCGGAAGTGTCAGATTTGGTCAGATACTAGAGAGGAATTCTCTGTAATATTATACTTATATGCATTTTTTTTAATGCGACTGTCGTGTTTCAGACTTCAACCGGGGTAATTTGACAAGCGATAGTACTCTCGAAAATAAAAAGATAATGATTATTTGAACTATTATGGAGCTCAATTTTCTAGAGACAGGTGGAGGTGTCGATGTTATAAATATAATTTTCCTTTTTCTATTATCACCCTTTATAAGTTTTTATTTCATCTTTATTTAAGAGTTCCACCACCGATTAAATTTTCCCGATTTTAATCTGAAACGAATGGTTTGAAAATACTTGGTACCAATTGGCACGTCTCTCTGTATAAATTTCGTGTGAATGAGTAGCGTAAAGATGATTGATGACATTCCAATAGTTGACAGTAAAGTAATGTACATTTTCAAGTGACGAAACTAGATGAAACACTTTCATACCCGCTACAACTTATCATGAAGGTATATTTTTCCCGAACAAAATTCAAGTCATGTCGGACAACAGGGTGCAGAAACTCCTCTTTTCCGAATACTGCGACTTCGAGGACATGGTACTGATAGAAAGCCCGTTCGCTCAAACAACAAAGGACGGGATAGGCATCCGTCAAGTACATTTGGGCCTAACCCCGTCGAAGCTGGTCCTAGCTACGGACGTCTTGCCACCAGTCGAATACGTCAATTTCAGTTACTTCCCAGGCATCGATCCAGAGATAGAGACCTTCGAGCTCATCGCTATATATCCAGTAGAATGCGTGAATCTTAGCGTCTACAGGACGAAGAGGACCCAAGCGCTCAAAGCGAGGTTCTGCAACAACAAAGTGCTGTACTTTGAGCTAGGCGGGTTCGAGAAACGTGCTATGTTCTGGAATCTATGGTGCGAAAGAGTCAAGTTCCTTTGTCCCGGCGAAAGTGGGTCTTCTCGCTCTGAGACCTCTGTTGGTACTTCCAGCACAGGTAGCACATTGTACTTGTTGGATAAGAAGTTCGTAGCTGTGAATGGTATCAAGCAGCTCTGGTGTAAGTTTGGACCTAACTCGATGTATGACACCAACTCTCTCAATGACACCGTCAACTCCCAGATCAAGTTGAGGAATAAGTGGACAGATAGAAACCTATATCTTGGCAAGAATTTCGAAAATTCTGAGTATCAGCCCGGTGTTGACTCTCTAGCCGGAAGAGAGTTTGGAAAAGCTCCTGTTAGTTCAAAGGCAATGTCGAAATCGAAATATCAAGAAATTGTTACCTACGTGGAGGAAAAACATCTTGGATTTGGGGATTTGGTTCAGGTGAGTGGATCCTACAATTTTGTTAATATTAAATAAGACACAAAATCATCTCCACGACAATTTAATGTGGTAGTTTTGCACTTATCATGCGATGATTTTTTTCAAAAATAGTTTTGGTACTCACGTATTTTTGTCTCAAAAACACGAATTTGATAATGAAAATGTGAACAAATCACTACATTTCTCGAGATTTTTCATGAACAAATTTTTCCATATTTACTAATTGGTGAATAAGAAAAATCATCACACCAGCTGACGGGGATATCCATTCGATATTTTGATCAAGGAGATGTTGATATTTATTTATGTACTTTAGCCCAATTTTTACGTTTTTTTCTTAAACTGTATGTTTTTGAAACAAATAAATCTATAATCTATCTATTTATCTATAATATGCGAGAATTCACTTCCAGCATGGGTATGTAAATGAGAAAACTTTATTATTTTCTGAAAATTCATATCATAAAACTAGTTTCAACCTTTGAGTGCTGAACAAGGTTGAGGAAGGCTGAAAATTTAAAATAATTTTTCTACAAACGTCAAAAAATGACAAGGTTCGCGCATTGAAAACAAATTGCGAAGTGACGCTTTTTTTCAGTGTCCTACGTTACCATGAAACCTTGCACAAAACAATGCCCGAAGTAAAACAGTGCGCGAAGTGTCTACTTCGCGCATTGTTATGTAAAATATATGAAATATTTATATTTCAACTTTATGGTCCTCAATCAAGCAAACATCTACGAAATCATTTATTTCTGATGTTCAGCAATAACTTTGTTTTATCTCTTCGAACGCACGAATGGAAACTCCTATTATGATCGTGGAACATCGTGCGTACCTAGGGAGGATAGGGGGAAGCCTTTTAAGCCAGTTCAACACTATTTTTTATATCAAGCTGAGCATATTTTTACTTTAGAACTATATTTTTTGACGTTTGTAGAAAAAATGTTGTTTGCAACTCGAGCGCGAAATACTTTGGTCATCTCGACTATTTTTTCAACTCGGCTAGCAGTTCGCGCTCTAGATACAAAAATAACTATTGTATAACGTTATTCGAAAGCATTTTGTTCAGAAGTTGTTCTTTCTAAATCTGTTGACATTTGACCTTCAATTAACATCTAAAAATAAATGGCTGGTATGATTGCTCAGTTAATATGAAAGACTCACCAAATTATCATATTTCTTGTTGATTTTCCTATGTAAAATGTGTTATTGAAGTACATCATGAGTATATAAAGTGTGTCCAATGACAAAAAGAAGAGCAAGCAGCTGTAAATGCCTCGCTAAATACGTATCCAAAGAAGGTGAAATTAGACAATTCCTTTATCAATATGGATACTGATTTGGAAACCTACACATCTGTCGAAAAGGAACTTTGTTGAACCTATCAGAAATTTTTAAAATGAACGCCTCTTTGAAAAAATAACAATGCCCTTTCTCTCCACCCACAAATTCACTTTGATAATTTGAAAGTTTTCGATTCATTGTATCTAGATATCTCAGTAATCTGTGTATCTGACTTCCATGGCGGTTGACTTGGGTTCAACCCCTGCGAGTCGTAATTTTTTTTCACTCAAGTGATTTTTCGAAAATTTACTTTTCAGGAGGAAGATTCATTTAGGCCAGATAAAATTGGAAGTAGTTTACCTCTTTATGCAGAAAATATATTTTCCTTCCTCATATTACCTTATATCCTTCTGACATCGTCCACCAATATTCTAATATTGGTGGACGATGCTTCTGATATCCTTCGGATTTCAAAGATTCGTTGGTATAGCTAGACGCTTGTGTGTAGGCTGATTTCCTTCCCGACAGTCAGTGTACGTCCAGTCAAGTGTCTCTTGTCATCAACATCGAGTCTATCGTTGTCAGTACGGTCATGTGATTTCCGGCTTCCACAATGGTTATCCTTGTGTCCCAAATGTTAAGGGATTAGTTGTTTTGCTTTGATCCTCCATAATGTAGATAAGGTGAGGTTTTACAGGGTTTCACATTATCCAAATAATTATTGCTGTTTATTAACCTTTTATAATACATGTTTATAATTTCACCTTCTTCTTTTTACCTACTTAATCGATTATATTGTAGGAACATTTTTTTTATTCGGCTGATGATGGACATATGTATGTTCGAAACATGTACGTGGATATTAATTTATTAATTAACTACTACTTTCCACTTCGAGAAATGATTGGAATTATTCTACCAGAAACTATAATAATTTCATACCCATTTCTGTGGCCCGAGTATGTTGAATGTTTTAAATGATAGTCGAATTATTATTTCAGGTCAATCGTTTTGGTTCAGGCGTAAACGAAGGATGTCATGCCCCGCTCTACCTCACTGTAGATGAATATCTAGTTCCACGACCTTATAGCCGACATCTAGAAGTATCTCCAACTCCTAGTTCAACTTCTGTACTCAACTACGAACACTTAGCAGAAACCGCTGTATTATCTTGGGAGTTCTACAGAGTAGCTGATCCAGAAAAATACAAATTGAAACATAGAAGACGGTATGGTTTAGCAACGCAACCGTCATTTCTCTACGGCTTCGGCTCATGGGACACCTCTAAAGCTGCCAAATACTCTTTGCAGCTCAAGAGAGCTGTATCCTGGGTTGATTTGAGGACGCCATGCAAAGAACCAGAAATCAAGCTGCATCTACTCAAAAAACAGTTGACCTCCTCTCCGTCTTTCCAATTCCTAAACACCGACAATATTGGACTGCTCAGTCCACAAAAAGTACCCGTTACATTCTTTTGGACCCCCGGATACAGATACAGGCCGTGTTCAGTTAGAGAAGCTTACGAGGAGAAACTACTGCAACTGAAGAAAATAACGCAATATCACGAGGCCTGCACCAAACGCAAGAGGAAAAAATGTAGCAGAAGGTTCCTGAAGAAATTCTACCATAGTCAAAACAAAGGACATAAATCGGATACGGATGACGACTCAAACGATGAACCTTTTCGGAAGAAAAGTAGAAAGAAAAAATACGGGTTTATCTACAATATGTTCAACAGTAGGATAGGAGAGGTATCTGATTTGCAGACCAAGAGGAAACCTCAAGAGACACCTTTTCAGTGCCTGAAAAGGATATTGAAGGTCGACAGGAGCCTCAATGCCTGGGATTTCGATTCTACTACTCTAGCAGAACAACTGACTATGATAGACAAGGATTTGTTCTTGAAAGTCGGGTCAGTGGAATTGGAAGCTCTCTTATGGTACAGATCTGCGAAGCACGCTCCAAATATCGCAGCCATTTTGACTTTCTCCCAAAGGATTAGTAGCCTTCTGGCCACTGAGGTGCTGAAGAACGATTCGGAAAAGAGTAGGGCCAGATTGGTGGCGAGGTTTATTAATGTAGCGAATAAGTGTCATAGGATGTCAAATTTCCATACGTGTAAGACTGTACTGAGCGGACTGCAGAGTCCTGCTGTATATAGGTTGAGGAGGACTTGGGCTTACGTCAGGAAAAAACATTCTAGCAAGTATCAAAATTTCGAGTCTCTTTGTAGGTTTTATCGTGATCCTAGGTTAGCTACTTATCAGAAAACTTTTTTCATAGTTTCACAAAATTATCCTTTCTTGCCTTACATAGGAGATATATTTAGTAGACTGCTGGGTAAGATTCCTGAATATCAGGCACCAACTTACAGGCTATCTTTGGCTAGGATACCTAGTACTGAAACGACTAAATCTTATTGGTCCAAAACTTCGGAGTTTGTTGAGGATGTTATCAAATACCCGAGCTTCATGAGTAAATTACTCAAAGTATTTTCGATTTCTGACCCTTTGACGCCAACGAAAACAAGAAAATCGATCAAAAAGGCACCACATAGGAAAGCTCTGAAGTTCAAAGGTCTTTATGAATATTATACACCGTTTGGTTATTATGAAGATAATAGGTTGAGAAATTTAGCAGAAACCAAATTGTTCTTAGAAAGGTGTCAACTAGGTGCTATGAATTATAATTTTGTAGTGAATGAATTAGCTAAAAGTTACTTGCTCAAGGCGAGGTATCAAGAGGACAAATCAAATTTTTATAGTTCTTTTAGTGTAGAATCTCCGCGTAATTGTTACGAACTAAACAAAAATATATAAAATACAAAAATGTAGGCTTGTTTTATTTCATATTATTCCAGATTTTTTTTGGATTTTCCCTCCTCGTTTCGATAAAATGAAAATATGAATAATATTTCAATATACCAGTAGTAAGGACAAATCAGATGATGAAAAATGCAAGCACATTCCTTGATTTTTTCTTCTGGTTGTTATTTTCTATTTCGAGAGACATCTTCCAATATGGACGAAGGGACATAAGTACAATATGAAGAAAAGACACATCAACAAATCGAAACTAGCTGAACATATCCTTACTGAAGATGGATAATATATGGCAGAATGGAATAATATTAAAATCATTGGAAAAGATGATAACAACCAGAAGAGAAAAATCAAGGAATCTGCTTGCATTCTTCTGAACGGAGACAATAGCATTGCTTCCTGTTCAGTTGATATAGATAGAACATGGTATGCACTATACTGAAATCTGAAAATGAAAATGGTAAATTCAAGATTAATTAATGAAAACATCCTGTAACTCATTTGATCGCCAACGTCACCAATTGTCACTGAGAACTGATGACTGTCATTCAAATATCCATTTTTTATATTGAGAACGGGAGCAGATTCGTTCCCGAAACGTCCAAAGCTAAGTGGAAATCTGATATATATTTCCTATATACTTTCATTTCTCTTCTCCAAACCTTTTTCAATACAAATTGTCACTGAAAAGCTAGTGAATTTTTCTTTCAGGCTTTCTGATACTAAAATCAACTTTTATGTTGAAAGTCATGGTAATTTTTTTGGGAAAAATCAGTTTCTTTGATTATTGAACGAAATTCATATACACTGTAGAACTAGTAACAAAACCAAACGTGAACATATAACAAAATAAAAAGAAAAAACAACGAATCATACTCAGTTAAATTAATCATTGTTATTAGAAATATCAGCGGTTAGCTTCAATTCACGCAGCATTAATTCTTCCAAAAATTAATCATTTAACATTAAAGTACATTTTTCTCGAAAACGGTCTACTTTAGAGCTTATGGCTACGAGTATATTTTTCATGTAGGAAACATTGGCGGTTCAAATGGATGGCACGAAAATAAAATTTCTTCAGTGGCGTAGAAGTTGGGGAAGAAAACACTTACTACCCCTTCAAAATCTTCAGCATTTATGACTTTGAGAAAATAGATTCCGCACTGAACGTAGCTCATCATGAGAAGAATATGCTCACATGATTTGTTTTCTGTACACCCTGTATCTCGAAAATAGTGTATTTTGGAGGGTAGGTTGATTGGGTTTATTTTTATATTTTGGAACAGCTATGACACCCTATATATCATTTTTTTCATATCCATAATATATTTGAGAATATCCCTTCTCACTAATACCTATAATGTGCGTGGAACATCGTTCGAGATGATTCAAGGTTGACGACGAAGGGATGTGCTGACTGCGCATGTCGAGTTCGTCTGTCTGGTATTGGTAGTGATGAATTTATAGCAGAGATTTCTGAGGAACATTACCCCTGGGGCCTTATTTTTGAATAGAGTGAACTAGTCCGCCGAGAGAAGTGGGCGTGTCCCTCACTTTAGTAACGAATTATTCCGTTCCCCGCTGTTTCTCTCGATATAGATAGCAAGAGAAACAGGTACTCTCTGTTCCATCTTCTTTCATAATCCACCAAAGAAAGCAGTGGAAAGTTAAATTGTAACTATTTTATACCAAGCATTCCCTGAAGGGAATTGTTCTCTCGATTCAAAAATAAGGCCCCTGGAAGTATCTATAGAAATGTGGAAGGTCGCCGATATCGATTCGGTGTTCTTATGTTGGTGTGGCAATGTGGCAATGTGGCATCACTCACCAGGCGAATAGCTCTTCTCTTGATGGAATCTAAGAGCATCGGCGTATGTTTGGTTGCTAAACCCCATTCATGAGAACAATGTTCTAAAAATGTTCATATCTGTGCTTTATGGGCCATGAGAAGCTTTTGGCTTTTGGGTTGTAAAGTAGATTCCTAGTTTTTGTGAAGCAGCTTTCAGGATGGATCGGACAGTATTTTCCCATGAGAGAGTATTGCTGATGGTATTACCGAGCATAGATATATATAGTGGTCTTGGTGGGACTGGTGGTGTACTAGATATCATTATATCAGGTATACGGAGTTCTGTCTTTCTAGGAAAAATACAGGATTGGGTTTTGGTGGCGTTGAACTGAACTAGGTTGTTGGTTCTTCAGGCTGTAATTTCCCAAAAGATCTACATTGTCAGCGTTGGACTGCCTTCGTCGTAAGTTCTCAGTTTCCTGGAAAGGCATGGGAATTCTAGAAGTCTACAAAGCTGTAGATAGAGCAAGTATTTTCTTTATGTTCTGGTTCCCACGGAAAGGGATATTCTGTAATGTTCAGAGAAAATCGAGAGAACCAAGGAAAATAAGAAAGGAATTGGTGTTCTTCTTGAATTTCTCGAGGTTATATGCCTCGGGGAACACCTCCCTTGGCAATGTGTTCCAGAGACTCGTTGTTCGTTGTATGAACGAGTCTTTGGAAAGAGATGTTCTGCAGGTCTCCAAAGTGACCACGAAGGGGTGCGAAGCCTCATTTCGACGGGTTAATCTCGTGGGGACTGCGAAGGGAGGGACAATTGTTGATATTTCAGAAGAGCATCGTCCATGAAAATATCTATAGAATAGAGACAGATCGCCAACTTTTCTACGGTGTTCCAGAGAAGTGAGTGAGTGAAGCATCATGCACCCACGAGACGAATCGCCCTTTTTTTGACAGAATCCAGCAGTTTAAGGGTATCTTTGGGTGCTGCACTTCGAATATGGGAACAGTTTTCCAGGATAGGTCGAATCTGTGCCCTATAGATCATAAGCAGATGACTGGAAGTGAAATAGCACACAATCTTGGCTGGGCATTGGCCCTATATTGGCCCAATATTGCCGATATCGGGCCAATATAGAGCCAATATCCAGCCAAGATTCGTGCTACTGGGGTCCTGGCCCGAAACAGAAAACCAAGTTTTTGGGATGCACTTTTAGCAACTGATCTCACGTGATTTTACCAAGAAAGGTTAATGCTGATAGTAATACCAAGCATCGAAATGGAAGTCTTCAAAGGTATGGTTATTCCTGACAAGCTTATGTTGGGCACAGTGAGATCGGCTTTTCTAGAGAAAAGACATGCTTGTGTTTGTTGCCAAGTCCATATTCATGTTGACAACATTTCTTCCTCGTTCGTTTCTGATTTACTTCCAATAGATCGTTGATATGAAGTAGGAATAATGTTGGAGCCAAAATTGATCCTTGTGGAACGCCGGAACTGATGACAATGGTATAAGACGATACTCCGCGTCCACCACCACATAGATAGTGATCTGCCTGAAAGAAAACTCGATAATAGATGGTATAGCTGAGGTGTTGACGTATGATGGTAGTTTATAGAGCAGTCCTTGGTGCCGAACACGGTCGAATGCTTTCGATATATAATGCAAACGCTACAGTTGGAGATTCCCCATGTTGTTCTAATAAAGTTCGCATTATATGGGTGACGTAGGCAAGTAAATATTAAAGGAAACTATATTTCCTGAAGGCTAACTCATCTTACAGTGCCCTGAAGATGTCATAATGAATTGATGAAACGGTGGATTTCAAGAAATATAGTTTAATTTCATCTGAGGCAGCCCGGTGGTCGAGAACGAAAAAAGTTGATGATGGTTGCTCAAAGACAATACGTTGGGTCAGAAAATCGATAATGTAAAATTGAGTAACCTCGAAAGTTACATTTCAGATAGACGGTAGCAATATTTAATTTTTTTAGCACTTCTTTATCAGGTGAATTACTTTTCAAATTTTGGTGAAGGAGCAAGAATCCAAAGGAGGAGGGCTCATCCACCAAAATATTAAAATGACCTAATGTTACACTTATACCACGAGCACTCCAATTCATTGACTGAGGAGAATTTTCAAAACATTTGTGTTTGAGAAAAAAAAAGTTTTCCGATAGAAGCTAGCGTGTTTTTTGTTAAAAAAATTGCATACCGCAATAAAAAAAATACTAGAATAAGATTATGCTAAATAAAATAGAAAATATCGACTCTAGTTGCGCAAAATATTAATAGGGAGCTGGTGGTAGTTCCAACTATCACTCTTTACTAACTTCATTTCACTGAAATTGGTCAAAACATATATAGATGAAAGGATTATTTCAATAACTGACTTTATATTCATGAATTTCCACTATTGCAGGAGCGCAAATTTCGATTCCTACCTTGCAATCTTTGCTGATCAATCAAGCCGAAATTGTCATTCGTAGGCCTATACATAATACAGTAGTTTCCTAACCTATATCAGAAATATACAGGGTGATGAGTAGAAAAATATATTATGCATCATCCTCATACTATGACAACAATTAATTAATCCTACAAGTATTCTGGTCGGAAGATGAAGAAGTACATCTATTCTAATACACTTGTCGTCGATGGTCAATTAACGTACAAGAAATACTCTTTTTTAATTACCGTCTCTCTCGAGAGGGCTGTAAACCATAATATTTGAGTGCAGTTCGACTTTTGTGATCTGTGAAACATACTGATGGGCGATGTAATTTTGACCAATATAGATGAAATTGAATATAAGAATGATCAATAAGAACCTATTCATCTTAGCTTTTTTACAGTTTAAAAATGGGCCTTACGAAATTTCATATGCACAGCACCTGGTTCTACAGCACGATTATTGATGCCTCTCAATGATTTTTTTTAAAATTGACTCGGCCGTTACTTGCTGGAAATCCATGATCGTTTATCGTTTGTGAAGTTCTTACACTCTCAATAATTGAGAAAAATAAACATTAAAATGTTGTAAATTTCGTCCTACAAAAAAATATTATGAATAAATGTGTCTCATCAAATTGTTATTCTACACGGTTGTCGAAAAAATAGTCTACACAACATGTCCAAAATGACACTGAAAAGTTACATCGATGGCCCAATTTTTTTACTCACTTTTGTTAACGCTTTCTTGACATGTTATTACGTTTTTT